CTTTTTGGATGTGAAGTTTGGTGAGTTCCTTATAGATATTGGATACTAGCCCCTTATCTGATATGTCATTTGTAACTATCTTTTCCCATTCTGTCGGTTGCCTATTAGTTTTATGGATTGTTTGCTTTGACAAGGCAGCTTTTCAACAGCATAACATCTTTTCAAGTTCCATCCATGTTGCTACAAATGGACAGATTTCATTCTTTCTCATTGCCATGTAGTATTTCATTGTATAGATACACCACATCTTCTTGATTTATCTATCAGTTGATGGACATTTTGGCTCTTTCAATTATTTGGATATTGTTGAAAGTGCTGCTATGAACAGTGGGATACATGTGCCCCTATGCATCAGCACTCCTGTGTCCCTTGGGTAAATTCCCAGCAGTGCTATTCCTAGATCATAGGGGAGTTCTAGTGTTAATTTTTTGAGGAACCTCCACACTGTTTTCCAGAGCAGCTACATCCGTTTACATTCCCAACAACAGTGCAAGTGGGTGCACGTTTCCCCACATTTTCACCAATATCTGTAGTCTCCTGATTAGTTCATTTTAGTCACTCTGACCGGCATGAGGTGGTATCTCAGTGTGGTTTTGATTAGTATTTACTTGATGAGGAGTGAAGTTGAGCATCGTTTCATGGGTCTGTTCATATCTTCTGCCCATTTCTTCACTGGATTATTTGTTTTTCAGGTGTGGAGTTTGGTGAGCTCCTTATAGATTTTGGATACTAGCCCTTTATCTGATATGACATTTGCAACTATCTTTTCCCATTCCATCGGTTGCCTATTAGTTTTATGGATTGTTTCCTTTGCTGTTAAGAAGCTTTTAATCTTGATGAGGTCCCAGAAGTTCATTTTTGCTCTTGATTCCCTTTAATTTTTATATTATTTGTGGTGGGAGGGATGGGGAGAGAATGAGAGAGAGAGAATCCCAACAGGCTCCACACTTAGTGCAGAGCCTGATGCATGGCTTAATGCCACAACCCTGACTTGGATGCTCAACCAACTGAGCCACCCAGATGCACCCAGTTTTATGAGTCTTATCAGCTGAGTAGATTTGTGTCTCACCACCACAATCGGAATGTAAAACAGTTCCTTTTCCTCCCCAAACAGTTCCTTTGGGTCCCCTGCATTGTTAGATGTTCTCTCCACCACCAACCCCTGTATATGCCCGTCTCTTCTCTGCCATTGGAATTTTGTCTTTGCAAGAATGTTACATAAATGGAATCACAACAGGCTGTGGCTTCTTTCACTCATCATAACGCCTCTGAGATTCATGAAGATTTTGATCTATAGTTTCAATTCTTGCGTCTTCTGCTATAAACATTCATGTACAGTTTGTGTCTCTGTGTATGTGTTTGTGCCCCTGATTTTTCGTTTCTCTGGGGTAAATACTTAGAAGTGGGGTTACTTGGTCCTTGCAATGGTAGATTTTAAAACCTGGTTTTCTTACGGCTTTACATCGCACTTATGACTGTTATTTTATTTAAAACTTTGGTTACTTTTGTACAAAAGTAAGAACAATACTTTTCATTGTCATTTGATTGATTTAAAATTAATTTATTGGGTATAATATAGTTCTCCATTAAGCGTGCATTGCATTCATAAGGTTTTTCAGACTGAAATTCTGTAAGTGACAAACCTTTTGACCACATTTAAATTCTCTCATTTTATACTGTGTTTATGAATATTCTTATTTCCCCCCAAATTTCAAATATCTACTCTGGAAGATTTGCAGGCCCAAAACCCGAAGTCACTATGCCCTCAAGGGGGTTATAAACCCAATCAATGAAATGTATGAACATAATAATTCATATTTTTAAATGTTCACTACTATTTATCAATTGCTGCATTCTCTGAAACTGTTCATCCGAAACATACGTTCATCCCACATCTAATGGCATTAGGCAGCGAAATCACGTGGTTAATCGTGAGTTCAACACCCCCTTCTCAGAGTATGACAAAGATCAGAAAACTTTGTAAATCTAACACAGAAGTGATAACCCTGTGGGATTTTTGTTTGCCTACTAATTTTTTACTTTCCCAAGGAAATGGAATAAACTTCACAGCCAAGAATAGATTGCACAGCTCAAAGGAAGTTGTAAGGAGATTTCCTCAGCTGTAGACTTGATGACCACGATTTCCAGGATGATTCTGAGACATTTCTGTTTGTCGTGGGGAGGGACCCCAGGGTCTCCTGGGATATGGTTACGTCATGTTTTCCCAGAACAAACATCTCTCAAGTTACACCTCATCCATTTTTTTAGAAATTCATTTCATGTTTTTTCATCCAATTTGGATGGATAAAAATTGGTATTCCCAGTTGGATTTCAGTTCATTTCCTTCCCCATATGACTGGAGTCAATTACTTTCTTCGTTGTATTTATTAAGTTGTGAATCCTTTACATGTATTTTCTCGTTGGAGTCAAAGTCATTTTATAAACCAGTTTATTGACAATAATCAATAAAAGGAATCATATTGACATTGATGTCAAAATTGCTATTGCTGTTCTTTCCTTAACTTTATTCCTCTGACATANGATGGACGCTCACACGTGTGCTTCTCTGGGGTACAGGGCTCCTTCTGCGCACTGATGAATGCCACCTTCAGGGTTCTGGATGACGCCTGTGAAAACAAGACCACTGAGGTTTCTCTGAAGGTAACAGCAAAGTCTTCATAATTGTGTTTTCAGCTTCAAACATCTTGGGGGGACACTTTGGGTGGAGAGAGTCCTCTTTATAACTGATGGGTGGAGTCAACATTTACAGAACCTTAAAATTTAACATACAGTAACATTCCCTTCTCTGCCATGTGAGTTTTTATTATTATTTTTTATTTTTCATTTTTAATGTATTTTATTTTTTTTAATAGTTTATTGTCAAGTTGGTTTACATATAACACCCAGTGTTCATCTCCACAAGAGCCTTCTCCCATGCCCATCACCCCCCTTTCCCTGTCTCCCAGCCCCATCATCCCTCAGTTTGTTCTCAGCATTCAAGAGTCTCTCATCGTTTGCCTCCATCCCTCTCCCAACTATTTTTCCCCTTCTTCTCCCCCATGGCCCTCCATTAAGTTCCTCCTAGTCCTTCTATACATGCAAACATATGGTATCTGTCCTTCTCTGCCTGACTTATTTCACTCAGCATAACACCCTCAAGTTCCATCCTTGTTCTTACAGATGGCCAGATTTCATTCTTTCTCATTGCCATGTAGTATTCCATTGTATAGATACATCACATCTTCTTGATCTATTTGTCAGTTGATGGACACATAGGGTCTTTCCATGTTTTGGCTATTGTTGAGAGTGCTGCTATGAACATTGGGGTACATGTGCCCCTATGCATCAGCACTCCTGTATCCATTGGGTAAATTCCTAGCAGTGCTATTGCTGGGACATAGAGGAATTCTACTGTTAAATTTTTGAGGAACCACCACTCTGTTTTCAAGAGGGGCTGCACCAGTTTACATTCCCACCAACAGTGTGGAAGGGCGCCTGTTTCTCCACATCCTCGCCAGCACCTAGAGTCCTCTGATTTGCTCATTTTAGCCACTCTGACCGGCTTGGGGTGATATCTCAGTGTGGTTTTGATCTCTATTTCCCTGATGAGGAGGGATGCTGAGCATCGTTTCATGTGTCTGTTGGCCATCTAGATGTCCTCTTTGGAGAAGTGTCTGTTCATATATTCTGCCCATTTCTTCACTGGATTGTTTGCTTTTTGGATGTGAAGTTTGGTGAGTTCCTTATAGATATTGGATACTAGCCCCTTATCTGATATGTCATTTGTAACTATCTTTTCCCATTCTGTCGGTTGCCTATTAGTTTTATGGATTGTTTGCTTTGACAAGGCAGCTTTTCAACAGCATAACATCTTTTCAAGTTCCATCCATGTTGCTACAAATGGACAGATTTCATTCTTTCTCATTGCCATGTAGTATTTCATTGTATAGATACACCACATCTTCTTGATTTATCTATCAGTTGATGGACATTTTGGCTCTTTCAATTATTTGGATATTGTTGAAAGTGCTGCTATGAACAGTGGGATACATGTGCCCCTATGCATCAGCACTCCTGTGTCCCTTGGGTAAATTCCCAGCAGTGCTATTCCTAGATCATAGGGGAGTTCTAGTGTTAATTTTTTGAGGAACCTCCACACTGTTTTCCAGAGCAGCTACATCCGTTTACATTCCCAACAACAGTGCAAGTGGGTGCACGTTTCCCCACATTTTCACCAATATCTGTAGTCTCCTGATTAGTTCATTTTAGTCACTCTGACCGGCATGAGGTGGTATCTCAGTGTGGTTTTGATTAGTATTTACTTGATGAGGAGTGAAGTTGAGCATCGTTTCATGGGTCTGTTCATATCTTCTGCCCATTTCTTCACTGGATTATTTGTTTTTCAGGTGTGGAGTTTGGTGAGCTCCTTATAGATTTTGGATACTAGCCCTTTATCTGATATGACATTTGCAACTATCTTTTCCCATTCCATCGGTTGCCTATTAGTTTTATGGATTGTTTCCTTTGCTGTTAAGAAGCTTTTAATCTTGATGAGGTCCCAGAAGTTCATTTTTGCTCTTGATTCCCTTTAATTTTTATATTATTTGTGGTGGGAGGGATGGGGAGAGAATGAGAGAGAGAGAATCCCAACAGGCTCCACACTTAGTGCAGAGCCTGATGCATGGCTTAATGCCACAACCCTGACTTGGATGCTCAACCAACTGAGCCACCCAGATGCACCCAGTTTTATGAGTCTTATCAGCTGAGTAGATTTGTGTCTCACCACCACAATCGGAATGTAAAACAGTTCCTTTTCCTCCCCAAACAGTTCCTTTGGGTCCCCTGCATTGTTAGATGTTCTCTCCACCACCAACCCCTGTATATGCCCGTCTCTTCTCTGCCATTGGAATTTTGTCTTTGCAAGAATGTTACATAAATGGAATCACAACAGGCTGTGGCTTCTTTCACTCATCATAACGCCTCTGAGATTCATGAAGATTTTGATCTATAGTTTCAATTCTTGCGTCTTCTGCTATAAACATTCATGTACAGTTTGTGTCTCTGTGTATGTGTTTGTGCCCCTGATTTTTCGTTTCTCTGGGGTAAATACTTAGAAGTGGGGTTACTTGGTCCTTGCAATGGTAGATTTTAAAACCTGGTTTTCTTACGGCTTTACATCGCACTTATGACTGTTATTTTATTTAAAACTTTGGTTACTTTTGTACAAAAGTAAGAACAATACTTTTCGTTGTCATTTGATTGATTTAAAATTAATTTATTGGGTATAATATAGTTCTCCATTAAGCGTGCATTGCATTCATAAGGTTTTTCAGACTGAAATTCTGTAAGTGACAAACCTTTTGACCACATTTAAATTCTCTCATTTTATACTGTGTTTATGAATATTCTTATTTCCCCCCAAATTTCAAATATCTACTCTGGAAGATTTGCAGGCCCAAAACCCGAAGTCACTATGCCCTCAAGGGGGTTATAAACCCAATCAATGAAATGTATGAACATAATAATTCATATTTTTAAATGTTCACTACTATTTATCAATTGCTGCATTCTCTGAAACTGTTCATCCGAAACATACGTTCATCCCACATCTAATGGCATTAGGCAGCGAATTCACGTGGTTAATCGTGAGTTCAACACCCCCTTCTCAGAGTATGACAAAGATCAGAAAACTTTGTAAATCTAACACAGAAGTGATAACCCTGTGGGATTTTTGTTTGCCTACTAATTTTTTACTTTCCCAAGGAAATGGAATAAACTTCACAGCCAAGAATAGATTGCACAGCTCAAAGGAAGTTGTAAGGAGATTTCCTCAGCTGTAGACTTGATGACCACGATTTCCAGGATGATTCTGAGACATTTCTGTTTGTCGTGGGGAGGGACCCCAGGGTCTCCTGGGATATGGTTACGTCATGTTTTCCCAGAACAAACATCTCTCAAGTTACACCTCATCCATTTTTTTAGAAATTCATTTCATGTTTTTTCATCCAATTTGGATGGATAAAAATTGGTATTCCCAGTTGGATTTCAGTTCATTTCCTTCCCCATATGACTGGAGTCAATTACTTTCTTCGTTGTATTTATTAAGTTGTGAATCCTTTACATGTATTTTCTCGTTGGAGTCAAAGTCATTTTATAAACCAGTTTATTGACAATAATCAATAAAAGGAATCATATTGACATTGATGTCAAAATTGCTATTGCTGTTCTTTCCTTAACTTTATTCCTCTGACATAATCCATGTTAGCATTTGGATGTGTACCCATATCCGTTCACTTTGTGAATGGATCTCTCTCTCTCTCTCTCTCTCTCTCTCTCTCTCACACACACACACACTCATACAGAAGCCATTTAGTGAGCACTTGTAAAGGGATTCGGCCTCTGATGAGAGATGACAAAGGTTCAAATCTTACTTCTCCCACCTCCTGTAAGTGTTCTGTTTCCTCACCCAAAAATGGAAATAATAGCTTCTACTTCATAGATTTCTTTTTAAAACAAAGTTAACATGCATAAGATACTTAATACATGGCTCATAAGAAAGTATTAATGATTTTTATCTCTGTATGCCAGAAACATTAATATCGTAGATATAAAAATGTTAATGAAAGTACTTGTTTTTTAAGCGAAATGAGATAATTCCTATGTTATTTTGAATTTTGCCTTACTTAACAACAGCTCACTGACCTTTTTGGTTGTTAATATGTGTGTGTGATCATTGTTTTGTTAACAGCTGCCTACTAATCTGTGATCGGATTTAGTCATTGTTTTAGCCAATCTGTTGGACATTTAGCCTTTCCAACTTCTTGCTATCAGAAACCACACTGAAACAAACATCCCTGGACAAGGTCCTTGCAGTTTTTACACATTTCTTGGAAGACTAATTCCAGGAAGGGAAATGTTTAGTCAGAGCTAGGTGTAAGCAGTGCTATTCCAGGTGCTGACTTAAAAGGCCACACCAACTTGAGAGGGAGTGAGGGAGAAGGAGGGAGAGAGAAGAAGAGAGAGAGGGAAAGAGGGAGGCTGGGAAGGAGAGCTGTTATCTGGGGCACAAGGAAGAAGGAGAGAGGGTACATGCACAAATACACCTTTCCTTGCAGAGCACGGCTGAGAGCCTTACCTCTGTGCTTGAACAAACTTCCACATGGTCCAACTTCACCAAAGAAGAGACATCCACTCTGGCCTCTGTCCTCCTGGAGAGTGTGAAAAGCAGCACCCTAGCAGCTTTCCTGAAACCCTCAGGCAACGTGACTCAGACTGTTCAGACAAAATACTTAGGTGAGGAGGCAAAGTTCCATCTGGGTGCTGCTGTTGAAGGGTGGGGCGTGGGCAATACTATGCCCGGTGGCTTCGCCGTATACCATTTCCCCAACTGTTTCAAACCTCAGAGCTCACAGAGAAGCAAGTCCCAGGATAGTAACTGCATCTCCCATTTGCTGAGTGCCTGGCGTTGAGTTAATGGTGTGTGGGAATGTATCACTGATTCGTTCAACAAGTATCTGAGCCCCACCATGAACAAAGATCTCATATATGAAGATAGAGAGAGTGCTGTTGAGAAAAATAAGCTAGTCAGCTAGAGAGGGTCAGGGTTGGGGGGAGTATTGATAGCTTATATGGTGTGGGGAGACCAAGTGTCGCTGGGGCAGGCCCTAAGGGAATGGAGCCGTGGTTGTATTTGGAGAGAGAGCAAAAGTTCAGGAATACTTGGTGAGTTCAATAAACAAAGAGGAGGCCAGTGTGGCCATAGAGCAAGAGAGAATCATCAAGGCTCTAGGAGAAGAGGTCAGAAAGGAAGGGGAGAGGTGGGTGGACTCAGGATTTTATTTGGAGTAAGATTGGGGTGGGTGTGGAACAGGAGAGTTTGAGGCATGCCATTATCTGGCTTATGTTTTAAAAGAATACTTCCGGTTCCATCACCTATTTTGTTTTCATGAGGACCCCTGTAATTAGTGCCACGTCACGGGAGAGAGACCCAAGTCTCAGAGAGGTTCAGTCATTGGTCCTGTTTGCTCAGCTGGTGCAGGGCAGAGCTGGATGCAGACTCTGAGCGCTGGTCCACTCTACTGCGCTCACCCAGCCCCTTACTAGCCCCTTAGGCTTCAGAAAACGTGTCTCCATTTAGAGCAGCCAGAATATCAGGACTCTGTTGCCTTCCATCTCTGTTTACCTCAATCCCAGTTTTCCCTGATGTATGACTAAGGTGTGAAAGCTCACTCTGCAGCTCCACCTGGGTTTCTAATTGGTTTCATCATCCTCCTATCAACCCACCCAGGGGCTCAACGTCTTCCCTGTGATGAGCTGGCCATTTTTATTCTTTGCAACTAGATACATAGAACTTTGTGGAAAAGAAAGAGGATTTAGGACCCACTTTCTGGGGGATTTGGGGCAAATTCTCCCTGTTTCCTTTTAGAAATTGAAAGCAAGATCATCAAGGAAGAGTGCACTGAAAAGAATGAGACCTTTCTCCTCAAAGCCAAAGGGAATGAGATGAAGATTGGGTGTTCTACCATCAACGAATCTAAATCTATAGGTACAGAGCTGCTCCTGAGAACCAGGGAGGGGGGCTATGGTGTATTCAATCAGCAGACACTTATCAGTCAACTCTTGGATTCCAAGACTAGTGAGATGAGGTCAGTGCCCTGGGGAAGTCAGATACTAGATACATAAACACTCTCACAGTATTGGAATGTCAAGACCTTTACTGTTTGGTACAGCACCACTGGCCACGTTTTCTTTTCTTTTCTTTTCTTTTCTTCTTCTTCTTCTTTTTTTTTTTTCAAATAGTTTATTCTCAAGTTGGTTTCCATATAGCACCCAGTGCTCATCCCCACAAGTGCCCTCCTCCATGCCCATCTACCCCCTCCCTCCCACACCCATCAGCCCTCAGTTTGTTCTCAGTATTCAAGAGTCTCTCATGGTTTGGTTCTCTCCCCCGCCCACTGTTTCCCTCCTTCTTCTCCCCCACAGTCCTCCGTTAAGTTCCTCCTAATCCTCCTATACGTGGAAACATATGGTATTTGTCCCTCTCTGCCTGAATTATTTGACTCAGCATAACACCCTCAAGGTCCATCCATGTTGCTACACATGGCCAGATTTCATTCTTTCTCATTGCCTGCCACGTTTTCTTATTGAGCACATGAAATGTGGTCAGGCTGTACTTTAAAACCTGGTAAAGTACACACCAGGTTCCAAAGGCTTGGTACAAAAAAAAACGAAGGTTGGGGAAAATCTCATTCATATTTTTTGTATGGATTATAGGTCAAAGGGATAATATTTTGCATGTACTGAGTTAACATATTATTAAAATTAATTTTACCTGGTTTGGACTTTTGTGCAATCTGGCTACCTGAAAATTTAAAATTACCTGGGTGGTTCATATTATTTTTGGTGGACAGCACTGATCTGTACCAGATATGGGCAAGCTTGTCCTGCAGAGGCAAGATTAGTAAATATTTTAGACACTGAAGGCGATAGAGTCTCTTAGAGTGCAAAGACGCCCATACATGATATGTAAATGAGTGGGTGTGGCTGTTGCAGAAACACTTTCATTTACACCAAGCAGGCAATGGCCAGATTGGCCTTTGGGCCATGGTTTGCCACACTCTGATCTAGATGCTGTGCGGAGGGCTCAGGGAGCAGGCCTGGGACATCCCTGAAGACCATCAGCATTAAGAGGGGAAGCAAGCTTAACCATCAGAGTGGGAGGGGAACTTATTTCAAACTGCTCAGTTTGTTTGTGCCTTAAAGACATAAAGTCATATTTATTTAAAACTTTTATACTGTTTCTTCATTTATGAGAGAGAGAGAGAGAGCGCCACAGAGGGGCCAACAGAGAAGAACACTAAGAATCCCAAGAGGCTCCACACTGTCAGCACAGAGCCCGACACAGGGCTCAAACCCACAAACTGTGAGATCATGACCTGAGCCAAAGTCAGATGCTTAACTGATTGAGCACCCAGGAACCCCCATACTTATTTTTAAATGTAGCCAACATGTCCCCAGGGGGTAGCACTGGTGCTGGTGAAGGTCACCAACCTTGAAGCCCATTGGCCCTCCTGGTGTTGCAGTGCTCAAAGCAGGTGCATGGAGGCCCAGAAATGCATGGGGTATTAGAGTGTCTATGTGTGTGTACGTGTTGGGTCCTCAATAATCACTACTTAGCAAATGATTCCTTTTTCTTTTTTTCTTTTCTTTTCTCTTTCTTTCTTTCTTTTTTTTTTTTTTTTTTTTTTGCATTTGGGGAAAATCACAGGGACCACTGGAGTGGCTTTTGTCTCCTTTTCGGGGATGGAGTCGTTTTTAGATGAGAGCTTCTTCCAAGACCTTCAGACCCCCTTCACCAAGTCCCAAAGGAAGCTGAAGATAAATTCTCGCGTTGTGCAGGGCATCATGACTGGGGAGAAGCAAGATGGGTTCTCTAACCCAGTCATTTACACGCTGGAGAACATCGAGGTTTGTGAAGAGGTTCTTGTTGAGCCCCTATCTTCCAGTTGACAACACCTCACCCCACAGTGGGCATTACTTTCATTTCTGATAGAGACCCATGAAGGTATTACGCTTCTAGACAACTAACAGTTCCTAGCAACTCAAGACATTCCCCAAAGTCCACTTCCAGAGGATTGGGCTCTCATATATATATAACAATATAAATAGCATATATAATATATATATCACATTAACACATAGCATATATAGTATATTGCATATATAATATATGGTGTATACAATGTATAGCATGTATTATATAGCATATATAATATTTAGCATGTATAATATAGAGCATATATGATATATAGCATATGTAATAGCACATAGAATATATATAGCATATATCATATATTGCATATAATCATCCATTCATCACTGGGCAAGATTGGGCTCAGATTAAGAATGTTGATGCAGGAAAATTTACATGGACTTTATTATATTAGCTATGACCAAGTTAGTAGTAGAGGCAGATCTGGTATCCAAGATCTTTCTCACCATCCTCACACACCAAAGTATTACATTTCCTTCCATTCCCTCCCAAACATACCTGCATCTTCTTGTCCTAGGTGACCCTTGAAGTTGGTCATACTGAATCCATTTGAGAGAGAGTCTAGGGTGACGAAAGTCTTTACATTTTCAGCCAAAGCAGCCACTTGAGATGCCTATCTGCGTTTCGTGGGACACAGACATGGAAGGTGGCAGATGGACACAGTCTGGCTGTGTGATTCGTGAAGCTTCTGAGATGCATACTGTGTGCAGCTGTAACCAGATGATGAACCTGGCCATCATCATGGCTTCTGGGGAGCTCACGGTCAGTACTGACACTCTCTGCTCTGGGTCTCCAAATCCGAGGGGAAAATATTGTGAATGAACATCCATTGTGTGTCTTCCATGGCCTTGGGTGTTGTGGGGCACAATCATGGGGGACAGACAGGGTGTGCCTCTGCCCTTGGAGAATTCATAGTTTGGCTGGGAAGTCATGAAACTCACATATAAAAAGAGAAATAACCCCTGAACAAGTTAATAATGACAGATCCCATTCACAGAGCATAATAGCCTGTGTTGGACCCTTTATTTTAAGGTAAATGTTTTCAGGCCATTTTACAGGATGGAGGCTGAGGCTCCATAGCCCACTTACTCAGAAAACTAAATGGGTGCAGATGAGACCTGAACCCAGGACAGAGTGTCTCCAGAGGTCTCTTTCCACAAAACTAAGCAAATGGGGCGAGAAGTGGTGCAATAGGGATCCAGAAGTGTGTCAGTGAGAGCTAGTGATGGGGCGGGGCAGGGTGGGTGAAGCGAGCCTTGGTGGGTGAGTAGACTCAGTGGAGGGCAGGTAGTATGTTCCCTGCACAGCTGTGAGCACTTGAAGTCTTTCCATTTAGTATCATTTAGCATATTCATTAGGATCCTCTTTTAACAGATGAGGAAACCGAGACACAGGGCAGTTAAGTGTCTTTCCCAGGCTCATACAATTAGGAACTGGCAGAACGATAGTCCATTTTCCTTACCATCACGTAACAGAATCATAGGGAGTAGTTCGTGAGATGGTGCTTTGGCATATCTTCCCAGAAGGACCTGAAAACCTTTAAATCAGTTATGAGTGACGGCATAGGGGAAGGGCTCAGTGTGCCATTTCTGCTCCCAGAAATCGGGGCATCCCTGAACGCCTGTGTGGCAGTGCCGGTTCAGTGCAGGAAACGGTGATCACTCTAGGTATTTCGGGCAGGGGACAGGATGGTCACAAAATCACGGGGAGGGATGGAGGAGGTTGAGGTCAGGGGTTGCCACCTGGGGTCTGGCTTGGAGATCACCCCTCTGCAACTGTAAACCAGAGGACAGAAATTGCTGCTGCCAACGGAAGAGGGGACAGCTAGAGCACGGAACCCAGCCATCGCTTGCTCCTGTCCACAGAAGGCTGGTGGCTCCCTCCTTTCTGCCTTCCAAAACCCTCATGCGTACATCTCCCTGGGAAACCTGAAGGACACCGTACCCCCAGGCGATTCTGGGAAATGTAGTTTGTAGACACCCTGCCCTGGTATGGCATGGGTGAGGCACAGGACCAGATGGGAATGGGTGTTGATGGAGGGCAAAGGATGGCGATGGACAGCACCTCCTTCACTCTGAGTGTCGAAGGAGAAAAAGTCCTCGAACCCTTTCAGGAGTCTGGATAATTCTTTTTCTTTCTTCTGCCTGGAGGGATGTTGGCCCCTCTCTGAATGATGTATCTGTTTCCTGACAGACGGAGTTCTCCCTGTACATCATTAGCCACGTGGGCTTGATCGTCTCCCTGGTGTGTCTCGTCTTGGCCATCGCCACCTTCCTCCTGTGTCGTGGCATTCGCAACCAGAACACCTACCTCCACCTGCACCTCTGCGTGTGCCTCTTCTTGGCTGAGGCGCTCTTCCTTGCCGGTGTAGACAAGACTGACAACCAGGTCTCACATCCCTCAGGCTGTGTCCTCGCCCAGCCCCATCATCTCCACATCTGCCCCTGCTCATCCTACCCAATAATCTCTATGCTAGTTCCCACTTCAGTACCTTTGCATGTGCTATACCTACTTTTGATGATACTTGTTCCCCAATTCTTTACCTGGTTTACACACTCTTGTGATAGGTGTCAGTTTCAAATTGTTTCCCTGGTCGTGTTATATACTGTGGTGGTCTCTCCTTAAACCACTGGTCCTTACCTTGCATGATTCTTTCTCTACGGGGCACTCGGCAATATCTAGAGACTTGATCAGAGGTTATCCCTGGGAGAGGGTGCTACTGACCTCCAGTGGAGTCTAGGGATGCTTCCAAACACCCTACAATCCATAGAATAGCCCCCAGGAAAGAAAATAATCTGGCAATAGTGTTACAAATGTCAATAATGCCTCAACTGAGAACTCTATCCCTGACGAGTCTATTTTGCTTTCGTTCCCAGCCTTTATTTGAAACCATATTGATTACTTGTTTTTTTACTAGCTGTGTATCTCCACCACCCGCCCCATGCAATACACACACACTAGACTGTGAGTCCCATGAGAGCAGAAACTTTGGACAATTTACCCCTTAGAAGTATACCAGAAACATAGTAGGATCTTAGGGTTTTTCCAGATGGAGCACCATCGGCATTTTGGCTGGGACAATCGTTCTTTGTGGAGAACCATCCCCCTCACCGTACTATGTTTTCCTTCTCAGACCCCTGAGAAATCAATGCTAGTATCCCTCCCATCATTTGACAGGGAGTGAGCAAACGTTTTGTGTTTTTTTTTAATTTTTAATAGTTTCTTTTCAAGTTGGTTTCCATATAACATCCAGTGCTCATCCCCACAAGTGCCCTCTCCATGCCCATCACCCCCCCTCCCCTCTCCCCCACTCCCAACAGCCCTCAGTGTGTTCTCAGCATTTGAGAGTCTCTCATGGTTTGCCTCCACCCCTTCCCCTACTATTTTCTCCTTCTTCTCCCCCATGGTCCTCCGTTGGCTTCCTCCTAATCCCCCTATATGTGCAAACATATGGTATTTGTCCTTCTCTGCCTGACTTATTTCGCTCAGCACAACACCTTCAAGTTCAATCCATGTTGCTACACATGGCCAGATTTCATTCTTTCTCATTGCCATGTAGTATTCCATTGTATACATAAACCACATCTTCTTGATCCATTCATCAGTTTAAATGTTTTATATATTTCTGAGAGAGAGAGAGATAGAGAGAGAGAGAGAGAGAGAGAGACAGCATGAGCAGGGAAGGGTCAGAGAAAGAGGGAGACAAAGAATCTGAAACAAGCTCCAGGCTCTGAGCTAGCATCAGCATAAAGCCGGAGACAGGGCTCAAACCCATGAACCACGAGATCATGACCTGAGTCAAAGTCAGATGCTTAACCACTGAGTCATCCAGGTGCCCCAACATTTTCTGTCTTAAAGAAGCAGTTGTAAATATCTTTGGCTTTGCAGAATCCAGGCTCTCTGACCCAGCCACTCAGCTTGGCTGTTGTAGCATGAAAACAGCCACAGAAAACACAGAAATGGATGTGGCTTTCTGCCAGTGAAACGTGATTTACAAACAGGCAGCCAGCCTGATGACTGTAGTGTGCTCATCCCTACACCCTCAACATCTTCAAACATCCTCTGAAGTGGGGTGATCAGCTATCTGCTCTTTTCAAAACACTGAAAAGTCCCATGTCCTGGGAAAGACCAGTCCTAGGCCAGCGAGGACTACTGGTCCCCCTACCAAAAGGATGAATAACAGGAAATTCCAATCAAAGGAGTAGCCCTGCTGTGTCTGAGAACCTGCCCCTTGGAGGGGGCGGGGGTCCTGAGTGTGCACACTTCTCTCCTCCAGACAGGCTGTGCCGTCATTGCAGGCTTCTTGCACTACCTTTTCCTGGCCTGCTTCTTCTGGACGCTGGTGGAGGCTGTGATGCTCTTCCTAATGGTCAGGAACCTGAAGGTGATGAATTACTTCAGCTCTCGCAACATCAAGATGTGGTACTTCTGTGCCTTTAGCTATGGGCTCTCGGGGCTGGTGGTGGCCATCTCTGCCGTCGTGCAACCACAGGGCTACGGGATGCATAATCGGTAAGCGCGACCCCTCTGTCTCCCTGAACACCGTGCTGTCATGGTCCATGATGATAATTATGTGAACAAGAACAGTAACAATAGTGGTAATTGCATCTACCATTTCTTGAGCTCTTTATGGCTTGTGGGTCTCAGGGCTGCCATGGTCTGTTGCACCTCTTGTACACTGCACTAATCCAGGAGCCACTGTTTGACCTATAAAATAGGTGAATGGTGGCGGTGTAACCAATGAAAGAAACTTGGTTGTGCAGCTTTGAATTCTGGATTCTGAAACCAACCTGCCTGGGTTTGAATCCTTGCTCCATGACCTTCTGGCTGTGCCCTGGGCAAGTTACTTAACCTCTGTAGGCTTCCACTTCCTCACCCATACAAAAGAGGCAAACAGCAATGCCGACATCCTAGTGTTGTGAGGGTTAAATGAGTTATTATCTGCAAAACATTCAGAATGCTGTCTGTCACAGGGTAAAGCGCTAGACGTGCCATCATCATCATCATCATTATCATCATCATCATCACCATTGTCTGTTTTAGAGCAAGGTCTGTTTATCACACGGGTCTGTGCGAGATGATTTAGGGTAGTGTGCTGGTAAGTATCATTTAAGATTCTCATACAGCTCAAAGTCTGGAAGGGGGAGATGGACAGTTTTCAAGGAAAAAAACACCACAATAATTTATGACACCAGTAGATGCTAATTAAAAAAAAATAATGAAAGCAGCATGGTCTGCTAGAGAAAAACCAGGGGTAGGGAGGGTCCCAAGTGGCTTTTCAGATGAGGTGGCATTCGAGCTGAGATTTGAATGACCAGGTGTGCCAGTAGAGAGGTCTGAGCAGAGAGGAAGAGATGGCAAAGGTACATACTGAGGGCGAGCTCTACGCAGGGCGCCAGGTGATCACTTCAGGAACATTCACCCAGGAAGAAGGTCTGAAAGCAGACTCGCTGCGGTCCAAAGAAAACTGAAGTGTCACCCAACCCGTCATGAGACTTTTCATCTCAGGATCAGCTTCCTGTAATATCCTCCATTAGTGCATTTTGGGGGAGAGAGGGAGTGACTGTAGGGTCAGGAGTTAAACAGGCGCTGACTCCTGTTTGTCTTCGTAGCTGCTGGCTGAACCCAAGCACAGGATTCATCTGGAGTTTACTGGGGCCGGTCTGCGTAATCATCACGGTAAAGCAAGTTGCTTGGTGCAGTGTGCCTGGCTGAGGTCAAACGTCCTCCCCTCTGATCCCTGGTTCTTGAGATTTCAAATTTAGAGTGCAATTGCTTTCACTTGTGATTTTTTTTTTTGCCCTCTGTCAATATGCAAATGGCCTAGAGGGGAACACAATCTGATTTGTCTTTTGTGTTTCAGTAGGAATAGGTCTATTGATGTCTTCTGAGGCTAGATGTTGAATGACAAAAAAAAAAAGGAAGAAATAAATGACTAGGAATGTGGGGGTGGGAGTAGAAGAAAACAGTGGGATGGTAGAAAGGGGAACCTAGAGATTTTTTTCAGCTTTATTGAGGTATAACTGACAAATAAGAATTGTGTATCACAGAGAGGGTATCCACAGTATCGCTAACTGGGTGGCTTAGAACAACAGAATTTGGCATCCTCCAGGAAGACTTCCATGAACTTTACCATTCTCACTTGTGGAGGCTGGAAGTGTAAGATTGAGGAGTGGGCAGGGCCATGTCCCCTCTGAAAGCCCAAATGAAGGGTCTGTTTCAGTCTTATTTTTTTAAATCTTAGTGGGCAGGGGAAGAGTGGCAGTAAGGGGTAGAAAAGGAGAGAGAGAGAGAAAGAGGGAGGTAGGAAAGGACAGAATCCCACACAGGCTCACACTCAGCATAGAGCCTGATGCGGGGCCTGATCCCACGACCCTGGGATCATGACCTGAGCATAAATCAAGAGTCAGTCGCTCAACCAACCGAGCCCCCAGGTGCCCCTCCATTTCAGTCTTCTAACCCCAGGAATCCCTTGGCTTATAGATGTTTGGCTTTCCCTGTCATGTCAGCCTCTGTGTCCATTTTCCATTTTATAAGGTCATGTGGAATTCGGACCTGCCCTAATGAGCTCATTTCAATTTGATCACCTCTGATAAAGACTCTGGCTACAAATAAGATCACATTCTGAGGTCCTGGAGGTTCAACAGTTCAACCCCAACAAGGCATCAATCTTGAGTCTAACTTCCCACACGCATCCATGTGGGGTGGTAATCAGTGGCGATCCCCCAAATGAGAACAAGTAAAGACTATTTATTGCTATAGGAAGGGAGTCGGGCACCATGACTTGCACTTAGCAGAGACTCAGAAGCAGGGAGAGGAGTCAGAAGTCTGTTTAGGGGAAAAGGGAAGGCTTCCAGTGTGCCTGCTTGGAGGCTGTAGGCGCTGGGACTCTAGATGCAGGCTAACTCAAAGCAGGGCACCCAATGTGAGTGCTTAGGGGAGCATGTCGGCTTTTTCTGTTGGGTTCTAACTTGGAAATGAGGGAAGAAATCAGGGAGGCTGTCAGCCAACAGTAAACAGCTTGGTGTTAAGGGTTGATTGCTGTAGGGCTTATTATCGTGCTTCCTGGAATGGGTACCACACACTATGGGTTTTTGACAGGTGGTGTGGCCATTGCCCATTTGTCTGCCGATATCTCAGTCCTCTCTGCTTGACTTTGTAGATCAATTTCATCCTCCTGACTTGCACGTTGTGTATCCTGAGGCAGAAGCTTTCTAGCGTCAACGCAGAAATCTCGACACTCAAAGACACCAGGTACAGTCCCTCCTTCCCTTTCTCTCTGCCAGTCTCCTTCATCCTTCCCACACACATTCCCTGAGCACCTCTTTGTGTGCTTGGTCTGGTGTCCAGGACAGAACAGCGCACTGTCTAGATCTGGGGTCTCAAGCACCAGCTCTGCCACTTATAAGCTGTGTGACCTTAGGCAAGTTACACAACCTCTCTGAATCAGTTTCCTCATCTGTGTACTGGGGGTATTAACATTGACCACTTAATGTGGCTTATGAAGCATTACTACAGTTACTAGGAAGGATGAATATTTCATATATTGTAACCATTAATACACTTTCTAATATCTACTGTGCACAGTTATATTTACAAAAACAGAAACCTACCATCTACTATATTTTTAGAGCCATTTTTCTCTTACTAATGTCATGAATATTTTTTCAATTTAACTAGAAATTCTTTGAAAATATCTTTTGTATATTTTATAAAGCATTTCAATGTAATAATGCAACACAACTTATTTATTATGCCTTATTTGTGGACATCCACGTTGTTTCTGTTTTGGGGGGTAGGGAGAGGGCTATTATAAGCAATGTGGTCTTGAACACCCTTATGGATAGAAATTTCTCCACATCTGCAATTATTTGAGCATAACAGTAGGCATGAAATGGCCTGAGCTAAAGGGCAGGTGGTATTGCCATGCTTTTAGTATAATTGCAAATCGTTTTCCAGAAAATTTGTTTCTATTTGTAGAAGTGCATGTTTCCATACAGCTTTGCAACACTGGGGTTTATAATTTTTGTTGTGGTGTTTTGCTGATTGAATAAGTGGAGTATACAATCTTATTATTTTAGTTTTGTATATATTATTTTACTTAACAGATGTGAGACATTTTCATATTCTTATAGGCGGTTTGTGTCTTTAACTTCCTCACTCAACAGATCTTCATTTTAAGAACCTACCAAAGTCAGGGGTGCCTGGGTGGCTCAGGCAGTTACATGTCCAAGTTCGGCTCAGGTCATGATTTCATGGTTGGTGCGTTTGAGCCCCACATTTGGCTCTCTGCTCTCATTGCAGAGCCTGCTTCGGATCCTCTATCTCCCCCTCTGTCTGCCCGTCCCCACCATGCATGCAGTCTCTCTCTCAAAAAAAATAAACATAAAAAAAAAACAAAAAAAAACAAAGGTATACCTTATCTAGGTTTTATTCTCAGGAACCATATGATATCCTCTGCTTGTTTTCCTCTCACTGTCCAGTCCGTATTCATCTTAAATTTTAAATATTTTTAAATCCTATATTTTAAATTTTAATATCTTTTAAAAGTTGATGCATAAAGTTTAAACAAAGTAAATACATTCAATAGAAAGAAAAATTAATCAATACAAAAGCAAACACATGGGAAATAATTCCCCCTCTCTTCCCAGATCTCTTACACCCTAAGCAGCCATTATCACTTGAATTGAGCTTCCTTCTAGAGTATTCTATCCTTACACATTCACCTTTGGATTACATAAATGATAGGGTACTATACATATCTTTCTGAACTTTGTGGGTTTTTTTCTATATAATAGGTAGCTGACTTCAAATCAATACTTGTGTTAAAAACAACTACCAAAAATGTCTTTGTGCCATATGCTGCTTTAAGAAACCGTAGAGACATCTCATCTCATTTAATATGTAGAAGAATAAACACCACATGGTAGGTATTGTATTATTATCTCTAGACAATTTGACAAAACTGAGGCACAGTTTCCACAGGTCTTCAGAGCCTGTACCCTTACCCTTATAATACGTGGACACTCTCCTCTCATTTAAAAAAAATGATTTTTGGGAAGGAGGCAAGACGGCTGAGAAGTAGGGAGCCCCATACATTTCATTCGTCCTCATCTCTCAAACGGAGAAGGCCTGAAGCCTTCGGAACCCTTACAGAATCCAGGTGTTTGGGAGGAAAAGGAGACAGAGTCCACTAAGAAAACCTTATAGGGCTACCTCAAGAAGCAAGCCAAAGGACACATGGTGGAGAGTCTCAAATACCACTACGAGTAGGGAAATAAAATAACCAAAGTCTCAACAAGACAGACCAAGAGACACCATTCAAAGAACACTTCCTGAAAGGACAGATCCTGAACACTCAAAGAGCCTTCTTTAATACAGCAGTACTCACAGGTGCAGAGTGCATAACAAGCTTTTAAAACTAACAAGAGATAGAAAGCTAGTCAAAATGACGAAACGGAAGAACTCTCCTCTAAAGAAATTCCAGAAGGAAGTGACAGCTAAAGAACTGCTCAAAACAGATAAAAGCAACATAACTGAACAAGAATTTAGAACAATAGCCATAAAATTGATCACTGGGCTTGAAGAAAACATGGAAGAAATCAGAGAAACTATTGCTACAAAGACTATGGAGCTTAAAAATAGTTGTGACGAATTAAAAAATGCTATAAATGAGATGCATCATAAAAGGGAGGCATCCAATGCACGGATTGAAGGGGCAGAGAGGAGAATAAGCGAATTAGAAGACACAATTATAGAAAAAGAGGAAGCCGAGAAAAAGAGAGCTAAACTGATCCAGGAACACGAAAAGAGAGTTCGAGAGCTGAGTGATATAATCAAACGGAACAATATCTGTATCATAGGAATTCCAGAAGAGGAAGAGAGAGAGAAAGGCGCTGAAGGAGTCCTTGAACAAATTATAGCAGAGAACTTCACCAATCTGGAGAAGGAAACAGACATTGAAATCCAAGAGGCACAGAGAACTCCCCTCAGACATAACTTGAATCGATCTTCTGCACGACATATCATAGTGAAACTGGCAAAATATTAAGACAAAGAGAGAATTCTGAAAGTAGCTAAGGATAAAAAGGCCCTCACATACAAAGGGAAACCCATCAGAGTGGTGACAGACCTATCTACTGAAACTTGGCAGGCCAGAAAGGAATGGCAGGAGATCTTCAATGTGATGAACAGAAAAAATATGCAGCCAAGAATCTTCTATACAGCAAGCCTGTCATTCAGAATAGAAGGAGAGATAAAAACTCTTCCCCCCCCAAAAAAAAAAAAAGAAATTGGGAGAATTCGTCACCACTAAACCAGCCCTACAGGAAATCCTGAGGGGGACTCTATGAAGGAAATGTTGCAAGGAACGCAAGGTACCAGAGACACCACCACAAGCATGAATCCTAGGAAGAACACAGTGACTCTGAACCCATATTTTCCAATAATAACACTGAATATAAATCGACTAGGTGCTCCAATGAAAAGACATAGGGTAGCAGAATGGATAAAAAAACAAAATCCATCTATTTGCTGTCTACAAGAAATTCACTTTAGATCTGAGAACATCTTCAGATTGAAAGTAAGGGGATGGAGAAATATCTATCATGCTACTGGAAGTCAAAAGAAAGTTGGAGTAGCCATACTTATATCAGACAAACAGGGCTCTAAAGACAGTAACGAGGGATGAAGAAGGACATTATATAATAATTACAGGGTCTTTCCATCAGGAAGAGATAACAAATATAAATGTCTCCAAATATAGGAGCATCTAAATACATTAAAAAGTCACAAACAGGAGGAATCTTATGGATAAGAATGTCATAATAGCAGGGACTTTAATAATCCACTTACAGCAATGGATAGATCAACTAGAAAAAAAAAATCACCAAAGAAACAATGGACTTGAATGACACATTGGACCAGATGGATGTGACAGATATATTTAGAATTCTACATCCTGAGGCCATGGAATTCACATTCTTCTCAAGTGTGCATGGCACATTCTCCAAGATAGATCACATACTGGGACATAAAGCAACCCTCAATAAATATAAAAGAATTGAGATCATACCATGCACACTTTCAGATCACAATGTCATGAAACTTGAAATCAATCACCAGTAGAAGTCTGAAAACCTCCAAAAACATGGAGGTTAAAGAACACCGTACTAAAGAATGAATGGGCCAATCAGGCAATTAGAGAAGAAATTAAAAAACATATGAAAACAGATGAAAATGAAAATACATCAATCCAAATACTATGGGATGCAGCAAAGGCAGTCCTAAGAGGAAAATACATTGCACTCCAGGCCTTTTTCAAGAAATTAGAAAGAGCGCAAGTACAAAATCTAACAGCGCACCTAAAGGAAGGAGATGAGAGCAACAAGAATGCCCCAAACACAGTAGAAGAAGAGAAATAATGAAAATCAGCACAGAAATATACAATATAGAATCCAAAAGAGCAGTAGAACAGATCAATGAAACCAAGAGATGGTTTTTTGAAAAAATAAACAAAATTGACAAATCTCTAGCCAGACTTCTCAAAAAGGAAAGAGAGAGCACTCAAATAGACAAAATCATGAATGAAACTGGACTTACTACAACCAATCCCTCAGAAATACAAGCAATTATCAGGAATACTATGAAAATTTATATGCCAACAAACTGGACAACCTAGTAGAAATGGAAAAATTCCTAAACACACACTCACTACCAAAATTCACACGGGAAGAGACAGAAAATCTGAACAGACCCATAACTAGTGAAGAAATCGAATCAGTTATCAAAAATCTCCCAAGAAATAAGAGTCCTGGGCCAGATGGCTTCTCTGGGAAATTCTACAGGCACTTAAAACAGAATTAATACCCATTCTTTTCAAGCTATTTCAAAAAATAGAAGATGAAAGAAAGTTTTCAGACTCATTCTGCGATGCCAGCATCACTTTCATTCTCAAGCCAGACAGAGACCCAGCAAATAAAGAAACAATTCATCCTTGACGAATACGGATGCAAAAATCCTCAACAAGATACTTGCAAATTGAATTCAACAGAACATAAAAAGAATTATCCTCCATGATCAAGTGGGATGCATTCCTGGGATACAGGGCTGGTTCAATATTTGCAAATCAATCAATGTGATATATCACATTAACAAAAGAAAAGAGAAAAACCATATGATCCTGTCGATACATGCAGTAAAAGCATTTGACAAAATACAGCATCCCTTCTTAATAAAGACCCTTGAGAAAGTCAGGATAGAAGAAACTTATTTCAACATCATAAAAGCCACCTATCAGAAGCAGTCAGCTAACATCATCCTCAATGGTGAAAAACTGAGAGCTTTCCCCCTGAAATCAGGAACATGACAGGGATGGCCACTCTTACCACTGTTGTTTAACATAGTGCTGGAAGTCCCAGCGTCAGCAATCAGACAACAAAAGGAAATGAAGGCATCAGAATTGGCAAAGAAGAAGTCAAACGTTCACTTTTCACAGGCGACATGATATTCTACATAGAAAACACAGACTCCACCAGAAGCCTACTAGAAATGATCCATGAATTCAGCAAAGTTACAGGGTACAAAATCAACGTACAGAAACTAGTTGCATTTTTACACACTAATAATGAAGCAAGAGAAAGAGAAATCAAGAAACTGATCCCATTCACAATTGCACACACACAAAAAAAACATAAAATACCTAACCAAAGATATAAGAGATCTGTATGATGAAAACTATAGAAAACTAATGAAGGAAACTGAAGAAGACACAAAGAAATGGAAAAACATTCCATGCTCATGGATTAGAAGAATAAATATTGTTAAAGTGTCATTACTACCCAAAGCAATCTACACATTCAATGCAATCCCAATCAAAATTGCACTAGCATTCTTCTCAAAACCAGAACAAAGTGTCCTAAAATTTGTATAGAACCACAAATGAACCCAAGTAGCCAAAGTAATATTGAAGAAGAAAACCCAAAAGGGAGGCATAACCATTCTAGACTTTAGTCTCTACTACAAAGCTGTCATCATCAAGACAGTATGGTATTGGCACAAAAACAGACACATAGACCAATGGAATAGAATAGAGAACTCAGAATTGTTCCACAAATGTATGGCCGACTATTCCTTGACAAAGAGGGAAAGAGTATCCAGTGGAAAAAAGACCGCCTCTTTAACAGATGGTGCTGGGAGAACTGGACAGCAACATGTAGAAGAATGAAACTAGATCATTTTCTCACACCGTACACAAAAATAAACCTAAAATGGATAAAGGACCTGAACATGAGACAAAAAACCATCAAAACCCTAGAGGATAAAGCAAGAAACAACCTCCTACTCCTCAACTGCAGCAACTTCTTACTTGACACATCCCCAAAGACAAGGGAATCAAGAGCAAAAATGAACTGTTAGGATCTCATCAAGATAAAAAGCTTCTGCACAGCAAAGGAAGCAATCAATAAACTAATAGGCGACTGACGGAATGGGAAAAGATAGTTGCAAATGACATATCAGATAAAGGGCTAGTATCCAAAATCTATAAGGAACTCACCAAACTCCACATCCAAAAAACAAACAATCCAGTGAAGAAATGGGCAGAAGACATGAACAGACACTTTTCAAAGAGGACATCCAGATGGCCAACAGATACATGAAACGATGCTCAGTGTCCCTCATCATCAAGGAATAACAAATCAAAACCACACTGAAATACCACCTCATATTGGTCAGAGTGGTTAAAATGAACAAATCATGAGACTCTAGATGCTGGCGAGGATGTGGAGAAATGGGCAGCCTCCTCAACTATTGGTTGGAATGTAAACTGGTGCAGCCCTCTGGAAAACAGTGTGGAGGTTCCTCAAAAAATTGACAATAGAACTCCCCTATGACCGAGCAGTAGCACTGCTGGGAATTTACCCAAGGGATACAGGAGTGCTGATGCATAGGGACACAGGTACCCCAAGATTCATAGCAGCTCTTTCAACAATAGCCAAAACATGGAAAGAGCCCTAGTGTCCATCAACTGACGAGTGGATCAAGAAGATCTGGTGTATCTATACAATGGAATACTACATGGCAATGAGAAAGAATGAAATCTGGCCATGTGTAGCAACATGGATGGACCTTGAGGGTGTTATGCTGAGCGAAATAAGTCAGGCAGAGAAGCATAGATACAATATGTTTGCATGTATAGGTAGATTAGGAGGAACTTAACAGAGGACCATGGGGGAGAAGAAGGGGAAGAATAGTTGGGGAGAGGGAGAGAGGCAAACTATGAGAGACTCTTGAATGCTGAAAACAAACTGAGGACTGATAGGGGTGGGGGAGAGGGGAAGGGGGGTGATGGGCATGGAGGAGGACACTTGTTGGGATGAGCACTGGGTGTTATATGGACACCAACTTGACAATAAACTATTCAAGGAAAATAAGAAAAATTATTTTATCATTTGTTTTTAGTCTCCATAAAATGCCAAATTAGAATATTTCCTAGAAATGGAATCATACACTCTGTGTCCTTCTATGTCTGGATTCTTCTTCTTCTTCTTTTTTTTTAATGTTTAGTTATATTTTAGAGACACAGAACATGAGCAGATAAGGGGCAGAGAGAAAGGAGACACAGAATCTGAAACAGGCTCCAGGCTCAGAGCTGTCACAGCGGAGCCTGACATGGGGCTCCAATTCACAAACCCTGAGATCATGTCCTGAAACGAAGCTTAACCACCTGAGCCACCCAGCCGCCCCTCTGTCTAGCTTCTTTCACTGAGCAGGTCTTCAAGGTTCATCCACGTTTTGTAGCAGCTGTCGGCATTTCATTCCTTCTTATGGGAGAATAATAGTCACTGTGTGGACAGACCGTGTTTCGTTTATCCATTCATCAACAGACGAACGTTTGGGTTGCTTCAGTTGGGGGAGCAGTGGGTGGGGAATGAATCCTGATAGGTATGGGGTTTCTTTCCAAGGTGATAAAAATGTCTTAGAATCGGGTGGTGACAGTGTTTGCACAGCATTGTGAATGTGCCAAATGCCCCTGAATCACACGCTTTAAAGGGTGGAAATCGTGAATTTTACGTCATGTGAGTTTTTCTTCAAGAAACATGTCATGGTACCTCTTACGGTGTCACCGTTCCCTAGTTCTTGGACCTGCAGGCCCTCCAAGCACGCGATCACTCTAAACACTCTCGCATTATATATGTGTGTCCACACGTCTTAGTGCTACGTGCATCTGTAGGCCAACTGCCTTCTCAATGCCAGTAGGATTCGATTTCCCTGCCTCTGGGCTTGGAGACTCTACCCCACATTTATTCCCACCCACCAGGTGGCAGGTGACATGGTGGGAGCGGTGGGTCCCTGAGGACAGCAGCCCCTTCCGGGAACCTTAACCTCTGCAAACCTTCTCCCCCAGGTTACTGACGTTCAAGGCCTTTGCCCAGCTCTTCATCCTGGGGTGCTCCTGGGTGTTGGGCATATTCCAGATCGGACCTGTGGCCAGGATCATGGCCTATCTGTTCACCATCGTCAACAGCCTGCAGGGGACCTTCATCTTCATCATTCATTGTCTGCTCAACCGCCAGGTACAACGCTGCCCTTCCTGAGCCCATCCTTCAGGGGACACGCGAGTGTCTGCCCACGTCCCTGAGTCTGGAAACAACTCATCTTCTCGTGATGTGTGTCTTCCTCCAGGTGCGGGAAGAATACAGGAAATGCATTACCAGGAAGACCAAACGCAGCTCCGAGTCCCAGACCTCAGGGATGTTACTGTCCTCTGTCCCCTCCACTTCTAAAACGGTGAGAGACGGTGTGTTTTGCGCAGACTTCCGTTCAAACGGAACTGCCGCTTAGCAATACCAGCACTGTGCATGGAGAACCAGCTGTGAGCTGTGTGTCCATGTATATTTTTGCACATTTGACAAAGTGTGGTGTTGGGGTTCAAGAGTTGGGGTTCAGGCACCAGGCAGCCTGGGCTTAAATCCCGACTTTGACCCATGGTAGCTGTGTGAACTAAAAAAGATAAAATGACTCATACAGATATAACGTGACCGTACATTAAGGATTTTATTTTACTCCATCATCGAGGGAGTGAAGCAAATGTTAAACTGGCTCAAAAGAGAGTTCACAGAACATACATATATTTTATATAATGTATAATTACATGTTATATAATAGGTATCATATAGATCTCGTATATAGTATTCATTATATACATATGAATTATGTAAAATAGACATATGTCTGTTCCTTGCATTCTTTTTTGAGCCAGTGATAACATCTGCCAAGTTCCCTTGTTGATAATTTTATATATAATTACATATATAAATAGAATTAGGCATATAATTATAAAATTATATAATTATTATAGTTATATATTATATATAAAATTTCATACATACTATAAAATGAATTACGTAACTGTATGAATTACATGACTTATGCTACACATATATAATTTCAGAAACATTGAAATGAACGTGCAAGGGGCATCTGGGTGGCTCAGTCGGTTAAGGTCCGACTTCGGCTTAGGTCATGATCTCAGGGTTCGTGGGTTTGAGCCCCACATCAGCCTCTGTGCAGACTGCCAGCTCAGATCCTAGAGCCTGTTTCAGTTTCTGTACACCCTGCCTCTCTGACCCTCCCCTGCACACGCTGTCTCTCTCTCTCTCACTCTCTCAGAAATAAATAAAACAATTTAAAAACTTTTTTAAAAAAAGAAATGAGCGTGCAAATGGAGGCAAGATTGATTTTTACACAAAATTTTGCATTGCTACTAATGCTATTTAAAATTTACAGAGTTGTAGGGGCGCCTCGGTGGTTCAGTTGGTTAGGTGTCCAACTTTGGCTCAGGCATGATATCACAGATGGTGAATTTGAGCCCCATGTTCGGTTCTGTGCTGACAGCTCAGAACCTGGACCTTGCTTCAAATTCTGTGTCACCCCCTCTCTCTGCCCCTGCCCACTCATGCCCTGTCTCTCTCTGTCTCTCAATAATAAATAAACATTAAAAAAAATTTTTTAATTTACAGAGTTGTTGGAGCGGCTGGGTGGCTCAGTCGGTTAAGCGTCCAACTTCAGCTCAGGTCATGATCACACGGTTCGTGGATTCGAGCTCTGCATCGGGCTCTGTGCTAACGGCTAGCTCAGAGCCTGGAGCCTGCTTTGGATTCTATTTTTTGTTTAATTTATTTTTTATTTTTTTTAATTTATTTTTTTCTTAGTTTATTTTCAAGTTGGATTCCACAAAACACCCAGTGCTCATCCCAACAAGTGCCCTCCTCCATGCCCATCACCCCCCTTCTCCTCCTCCCCACCCCCATCAGCCCTCAGTTTGTTCTTAGCATTCAAGAGACTCTCATGATTTGCCTCCCTCCCTCTCTCCAACTATTTTTCCCCTTCTTCTCCTCCATGGTCCTCCCTTGAGGGTGTTATGCTGAGTGAAATAAGTCAAGGAGAGAAGGACAGATACCATATGTTTCCACGTATAGGTGGATTAGGAGGAACTTACAGCTTTGGATTCTATAGCTCCCTCTCTCTCTGACCCTTCCCTGCTCATACTGTCTCTCTCTCTCCTCTCTCTCTCTCTCTCTGTCTCAAAAATAATAAAAATATTTTTAAAAATTTACAAAGTTGTAAAACTACACTTTACACAATAGCTCTTTTATCCCCCATTACAATTTTTTTCACTGATTTATTTCAAGAACAAGTAACTAAGATTCAGTGGCTAAATTAAATAGAAAAAAAAATAATTTGTTTTTGAAAGAATTAAAGCCCAGAGTTAGGTGTTGCTGATATTGGTTATGCTGCTCAGGGATGTTGAAAAGGATTTAGGTTTTCTCAGCTTTTCCTTTCCACTATGAGTTTGTTGACCGTTCATCAAATGATTTCCATGGTTGCAAGATGGTTGCCAAAGCTCCAGACATCATGACCACATTAAAAGCAAGAAGAGGGATAGGAAGAAGCAACAAATTCTCATTTCAGGCTTCCCTCTTTCAGAGGAAACAAAATCTTTCCCAGAAACCCCTCATTGGGTTTCCCTTCCAGTAATAGGTCAGAACTGTATCACATGACCTTACATAGATACAAAGGAATTTGACAAAGCAAGTATTTGGCTTTCCTGCTTCTAGAGTGGAAGCTATGAATGGTGAAGAGGTTGAGAATAGCTTTAGAGTTTACCATTAGTGCCTGTCACAGTAGAGGCCATCCTTGTTAATGTTGTAATGTTCATTCTTCTAGTGTTTGTTTCCATCTCTCTCTCTGTATTTATAAGACCCAAGTATTTACAACCCCCCGGAATCACATTGTACTAATCCTGCTGTGATTCTAATTCTGATTTCTCTCTCACAGGGATGACGATCTTTCTTACTGCCAGTATGCTATGCAGCAACGTTTGAGGAAAGCCGATGCCTCTGGGAGCCGTCTCTGAAATCTCTTCACAGCTTAATGGGCAGAGGCAGAGTCCTGCCTGTCCCAGAGCCCTCTGGGAACCAAGAATTTCTGTTTCAGATGATCGGTTCTGCTCTTTGAGTTTCCAGAGTTTTGTGGGAGTAACAGACCCCAGAGCAATGGCACGGCCAAGATTATCTGGCTACCATTTTGGTTTCTCCTAAATCCATTGGCGTATGGCTCCAGCACCTGTCATGTGTTTGACACAGAGTGGCCCTCAATAAATGATTTGTCATATGACTGATCGACCTAGCCTTTGACACAGATTCCCGCTGCTTTTAAAGAACCAGTCAGTGAAACAGTAATGGTGGCCCCAGAGTATGAATAAAACACATAGACCTGTAGGCTAGTTTTGCACGGACACTTACAAGAGTTCGATTGGTGAGTAGGAGCTCTGGGTGGGGCAGGATCCCAGTGTTTCATGGAGGGTTGCAGTGCTTGACAGCAACACCCTTTGGGAAGTGTTCTGGTTTCCTGGAAGCTTTCAGAGAACCAACGACTCTCTTCCTCCAGGGACTTTCCTAGACCTTGTGTGAGATTCACAGTGCTCACAACGTTACCGCCATCCCTCATTGTCCTTCATGCTCCATAGAATCCTGGTTGCCAGAGGGAGAAGTGGGAGATTAAAGTTTTAAATGTAGGTATATCCTCTGTGCTCCCGTTGGCAGCACATATATTAAAATTGGACCAATGAAATGAGGAATCCTCCCTTCCGTAGCCACTCTCATACCTCCTTACTCAAAGTGGGTCCGTGCACCAGACACATCAGCATCACCTTGCTGGAAAAGCAGGATCTCAGGACCCACCTCATATTGGCTGAACCAGAACTTGCATTTTCATGAAAGCCCCAATGGATTTGTGTTGTACCTACAAATGTTCGTTCTAGAATATTCTGGAATATTCTTCTTTTTTTATTTTATTTTATTTTATTTTATTTTTTTACAAAAAGTTTATTGTCGAATTGGTTTCCCAGTGCTCATCCCCACAAGTGCCCTCCTCCATGCCCA